ATTAACATTAAAGGAAGTAGTATTATATTACCATTAAATATCTGCATGTTTTGACAGTAAAAAGTTTATGATTTTTAGATTGCATATGTCATTTGATATCCATTCCAAAACTTAGATTTAGAGCAGATTTCTATCTTTAGTGCTCATTTATTTAGATTTCATGACAATGTGGATTTCATTATCTTGTATGTTGAAACTGATTGACAAATGCAATAGAAATATGTTTTTGAAGTAGACGTAAAATACAGAAATATTTTCTCAAAACCTTTCTCTGTGTCAGTCACTGTTTGTTGAGCAGAATTTTCTTTTTAGTTACAGACAGAGAAAATTGTATGTAGAAAAATATCACCCTGAAAAATTTAATTTAGAGAAGGTTTATATACATCAAAGTTATCCATGTTCCAAACTCCTAAAGGGTCTTTAACTTGGAAGAGCTGGATAAGCCTGCAGCGTTCTCTGTAATGTGTAACCACTATAAACAGATAATGGATGGATTTAAGTGAAATTTAGTCAGACCAGAAAAAATCCCAGAACTTTAGGAGACCACTGCTATGGCACAGATTCTGTGTCTGCATGAAACTTATGGTGTGGGAGCTGAGTAAAATTCTAGTGGAATGAAGACTGAAAACCACGAAATAAAGTAAATTAAGTATTGCTGCGAGAATAATTTGCAACCTCAACAAAGCATATGCAAATGTATTAAATTACCAGAACTGGAGCAACCACAAAGTAAGGCTTTTCACCCATGTGCAAACCCAAGCAGAAGCAGAAGGGAGATAGCAAAAACTGTTCTGGTTGACTTTAAATATGTGAATATAATTATTTCAGTTAACAGGCTTGGAGCTCATGCCTGAAGTTTACAGTGGCATAAAAATTTGCGCATTGGAGACAGGAAATAAAGCAATTTTAATTTCATTTGGGTATATTCATAGGATGATTTTCGAAATTCACATAAACATTTTTCTAAATTAAATTTTTTTAAATTTTATGTCTAAAACCAAGGAAATGTGTGTGGAAGAAATGGAATCTCAAAAGCCTTAAGGCTGCCACAGTAAATCATACTACTAAAGATGCTACTGCTAAAATACAAGCTGGTGCATCTGCCAGTTCTGCAGGAGCCAGTCTTGTAAATATTTTAAACATGTAATGCATGTGACCATAGACTTTGGAATGAAACTTACGGTACACTGCAGAATCCTAATTGTCAACATAAATTGTTGCTAATATTTTCAGTTTATTTTGTACAAAACCAAAATGTTAAAGCAATGCAAAATTAAATGTGAATTTTGATCAACTCTAAACATTTATCCTGCCAATATATTGATAAGTCAATTTGATTATGCTGTGAACAGTATTACAAAGCATTTAAAGAAGCTGCTGATCGTCCATCTTGGTTTGATTTGTCACTTATACTAATGACAGCCACTCTTTTTTCTACTCCTTTCTCTGGTATCTGGATCCCATTTTCAGTATGTCTTGCATTGTAGCCTCTTTTGCCCACTTGTTTTCGCTGTCCCAATGGATCAGACCTTGATTTTTATTCTTTCAGTCTAGCCTTCTGTTCTTTCTCATGGCCACTATTTTAACTTCCTTTTTTTCAACCTTCTTGTACTGATGTTGCTTTTGACTTGCTCCCTTTCTGAATGTTATCCAGCATTTTGTTTCTTCAGGGTAGCCAGTTTCTTCTCTCTTCCCCCTTCCTGAAATTACTGTTTTCCTTCAAGCATCTACAGCCACAATTTTATGCAACCAATATTCTCTTAATCCTTTTTGACAGTCTGCACCAACCATAACCATAACTTTTTCTTTCCTTGTCTTTTTTCCCCCTCATTTGTTTTGTTTTCATGGGCTCATTTGCTTTTTCTGAATTTAGATCATTCCCCTTCATCAAGGTAGGAAAACCTTATTTTTGTTGCGAAATAATTCAGAGGAAAATATCTGAGTGAAAACTTGTAAATTTGCATTCCCAGTCCCCAGCCTCTATCATTTCCAATGACAGCACTCTGATATATTTTCTCTACAATTAGGTTAAATGCTTGGGAAAAGATGGAGGGCTGTCTCTTGGGTCTATTAGCGTTAAGGAGAGGAGGTTTGGAACATGCTGTTCTCAGAAATCCTGAATTAATGAGGGACTGCAGACACACCAGAGGATGGGGAAGTGTTCTGTCATGTGCCGTGATTTCCACAAAGCTTTCTCTTGTAATGTGGATGTAAAAGAGCTGTGTGAGGCTTTCTAAGCAAAGAGGGGAGTTCCTCCTGAGACCTAGTTGAGAGATTCAGTGTGTACAAATGGATAGGAGTTTATAGAATCTTTGTATAGATTGGCTATGCACAGTTGTGACTTAATTATGTGAACTATCTTACTGTCAGTGTATAATGCCTGTTAGCTTTCCTGAATAATTTTCCTATTTTTTACTTTAGTGTTTCTTTGTAAGTACAATTAATGTGGTTCCTTTAAAATTGAATGTCTGTGTTACTCTCATCAAGTTACAGTCTTGAAAGGAAATTCTTGTTTACAGAATCCATTTTTTGTGTGTTGCTCAGTTTGCAGTACAGTGTTTAGAAGCAGAAATGTATCTGGGTTTTTGAACACAGGAACGTTTGGGTATTTTTTTAAACCCAAAAATCTAAACCCAGTGGAAACATTTTTATAAAATCTAGTGGTTTCATTCCAGTATAATCATATTTCCTTTTAGAGCTTGGTACTTTACTAGTAGATAGAAACAAGAATATGAAAACAAGTAGAAAGTGATTATTTGTGAAGCAGGTTCCATAAATCACCTCAGCTGTTGATTAACCCTTCTGACCTCGGGGAGACTGTTCTAATGACAATAATTTTGAAGTCACTGCAGATGTTATCTTGATTTTTTTTGCCAAGATACAAAGACTTGTTTTTTCCTATGGCAATAAAATAAAAGGGAGAAGCCTTACTATTTTAGCCCTTCCAGTAGTGATCTACCTTACTGCTTTAGGCTTTCAGGGTGCTCACTATTTTAATAATCACTTGTTCTCTTTCATGGCCCCCGAAAAGTTAGTTGCTTCTTCAGATCCACTTTTGTGCCTGGGTTTTGGTGAAATCCATAGGAATAGGGTGCACAGGCAAGTTAGCTGAACTATTGATATATCTTACACAGAAATTGAGTGTTCATGGCTTTCAAATATTCCCTTTCCTCTAACAATTTCATGCCATTTTCCTGTACTGTACAGTAACATCAGAGTAACTCAAGAAGAGATATTTGTATCTGTATTTGCTGGGGTGAGCAGAGACACTGATCTGCCTGTGGCACAGGGGTGTCCTGGTAGCAACAGCAGCCACTGTGGATGTGGGTACAGACAGTGCAGCTCCTCTGCTGCCCTGGTGTGATTAGTCAGGTAATTTCATTAGTCAGGTAATATGAGTATGTTCCATGTTCTAGCAGTGTGTACCAGACTTTGTTTGTCTTACTTGTCAATAGGACATTAAAAGTGGCTTGCTTGTTATGTAAGAAATCTGTAAGAGAGCAAGGTTTCAAAGGCCAGTAGATGAACCCTGAAAACTCAGCAGTCACTAACTGAGGACTGGATTCTTGTCCATCAGAACTGGTGCTGTCCAAGGTAATAGTGAACTGTGTTTGTGTTTGGACAGCCAGTTGTTAATGTAAAGGGAATCGGTCCTGAATTCTGATTATATGATATAACATTATAAAAGAATTTCTAGGAGTAGTGAAGATATTACTGGATTAGCTGGAAGAAAAGGGAAGTGAATCTTCTGTTCTACTCAGTTCTGGTGACACCACACCTGGAGTACTGTGTTCAGTTCTGGGCTCTTAGTACAGGAGAGACATGGGCAGAAGGGAGCCCAGGGAAGGGCACAAAGGTGATTAGGAACGGGTGCATCTCTCCCATGAGAAGGATGGGGAGCTGAGACTCTTTAGCCTGGGGACGGGAAGGCTTAGGGGGAAGAGCAGTGTATATAAATTCCTGAAGGGAGGGGTGCAGAGAGAACTGAGCCAGGCTAACTTCTGTGACACTAGCCCTTATGTGACAAATTATACATCTTCAATCTTATTCCTCTGCTTTTCTGGTTGGAACTGAAGTGAAATAATTATTTTCATGAGAAAGTAATTTCATCTGAAGTGAGTAATTTTGTTTTTCCTACTGTATTGGGTCGATATTTTCAAGTGCCAGGCCTCTAAATAAAAGGGTTTCCCTAATGGAGCAACCAAACTTGGCAAGCTAGGATTGGCCTTCCAGGCAGAATTAAGAAAACCTCCCTTTTTAGGCCTGGAATGTAAGCAGATATGGAATTTCAGTGTCTGGAATGCTTTAGATTTACAAGCTAGCTTTCCTCAGACAGGTATTGTGAAGTTATTTACAGGGCTCAAGACCTAACACTTGGTAGTTTTAATATTATATAAAGCCCAAATATTTAAAATTAAATTTTGCTGGTTTATGAATTTCAATGTGTGGTGTTCAAAAGCTTTCCTAGAAATTTTGCTGGGGCAATCTTTATAAAGTTAGTATAAATGTAAAAAAAAAACCCTTGTGCAACTCTTTGAATATTTTTCCCATCTAGTTTCTGTTTTGAATACTGTCCTAATCTTCAGAATTATCAAAGCAGAGAGTTTAACATCATTTTCTGCTAGTAAATTCCCCTTCTCCACTGTATTAAGTAAACGTGTGATTTAAATGTTACCTTTTAAAACTCATCCAGTGGTGTAAAAAATTGTACTTCCATTTTTTGTTGTTAAATGTTGGTTAAAAAATATGATTTCTAAGTATGGATCTCACCTCTGACGATGACTTTTCCTAATTTGTGGAAAATCATCTAACTTGTCACTTCTTTTTTCTACATGTTAAATGTTATGAAATCATTATAGTATTTGAAAAATTAGTAGTGAGGAGATGGATTTCATAGGCTTATGAAATATTTATACTGCTCAGATACTGGTCACTGAGTGCAATGGAATACTGATGTTTTCATTACTTTATTGATTTAACATCAACTTACATCTTGCTTCAGCTTATTAAAAGAGAATATACATATTTTCTTCAAAAAGTGATTTAAAACACAGACAAGTGTATTTTAATAGTTAATTGAGCAACCATTTAGTAATGTGATTATTACAGATGCTATGCAGAGCCATGTTTTAAAGTACCTGCAACAGAACTAAAAGTGAGACTGTATTGTACTGTATAATATATTTTAATGGTCATGGATATTGTCCAATTGTCATTTTTATTGTTATGAAATGTATTTACATCATTTTGCATACCTTTAAGGACCCACAAGTTATGAGAAAAATATGTAAGTATCCCTGTAAAAAGGAAAGTGTGTTTTGTGTAGTTGTTTGAAGGTATTGTTTCATGAAAAATAACTTTCCTGTGGAATCCTAGACTCATTAAAGTAGGAAGAGTACTGCAGGTCTCTTGTCCTATCTCCTCTCAAATTAGGGCCCACACTGCTTGTACTGGGCTTTGTCCAGTCAGGTCTTAAAACCCTCCAAGAATGGAGATTCTTCTCTGAGATTTCTCAGGTGGGGTTTGCTCATTTGTGTCCCAGGGTGTTTATCAGCAGTAACACTAAAGTAAATAAGTCAAACCTTTCTAATTACAGATCCTGTGTAATGGAGCAGTTTCTGTGAGGTGAGTGGCTGTTGTAGGTGCTGCTTTGACCACAGGAGTTGTATTTCCCTTCTGAACCCCAGGCTGGACAGACACACTGTGTAGTGTCGGTGGGAAACTATGAAAAACTCTGGGAAGGCAAATGACTCTGAAGGGAAAGCAAAGAAATTACACTTGAGGTTGGCTTTTATAACCCTCTTTGCTTGGGTTTTCTTGAACTTTTAGTATTATACAGGTTAGTAATGAGCCATTTCCAGACAGGTGTATCAGTTTATTTATGTATAAACATTTTCCTCCTACATGGTATATTGTATGTCGGTGTTAAGACTGCATTTGGTTGTGATGCAATTGATGTAGGAGGCTTTCGTGAAGATTTCTGACACTTTTGAATTCCTGTTAAAATCTAATAGATTCTTCTTATTATCCTTGTCCTGTAAAAGTTTGCTACTGGAGATCATTTCTGTAAATTTTCTGATTATTATACTCTGGTTTTAGCACTAATTTTTTTTTTTTTTTGAGTCAGTATTTAACAATAGATTTTCTAAGATAAAGATACATTGAAAATTGCTCAGTTGTAAGGACATAAGAGTGTGGTAGTGATGAATTGCAGCATTTACAGTCAGGTGTCTTTCTGGGAACAATTCCCTCACAGAACACATTTCAGTTCTGACAGCTGTAAAACAAAGCAGCCTTGGCTTACCTGAAAATGGTGACATAGTGATTCATTATATCAAGCATTTAGCAGTAAGGGCTAATTACACTTTGATTCAGGATTTGTTTGACTGTATTTCTGTGTTTTTGAATTACATAATCAAAAGATTGTTTAAAAGAGCCTGTCTGCATCTGGTTTTAAGATTTTTTACATATATATTTATATATTAACGTGCATACATACATTTTAATTAAAACTTCAGTAAAGCTTTTAAGCACAAACAATCCTAATGGAGTTTTGTTATTTTCATTTTTATTTCAACGCTTCCACTAACCTAGTTTAGATATAGAAACTTCTGCTAGTATTTTAATGTTGATCATAAGTGTGAACTTTGTTTCACTGTTTAAATATTCACAGAAAGTAGTGCAGAGAGGTACCAGCAAAAAAGCTTCTTTTATAGTACAGTCTGTTGTGTTCAGTGAACAAGTAATAAATAAACTAGCAAAAGCACAGTGAAGGTTTACTGATAGAGTTGTATTGATAATTTTTTATGCATGGATCTGTTTATATCTTCTTTGATTTTTGAATTGCTAATAGAATTGATTTTCAAATGGCACTATTAGTTAAAGAAGAGGGTTTCTTTAAAAATAAATATTTGTCAAAGGAAATTATTGCCGTTTTCTGTGAGTGCTCTTAAAATGAAAGTATTTCACGTAGGAAAAAATGGTTGATTCTAGTCACTTGTTATTCAATGCATAACATTGAAGCATTTAAGACCATTTTAAATTAACTTGACTCTATCCCAGTCACGTCTGCTGCTTTAGCTAGTTTTTGGTGATCTTTATCTAAGTGCAATTATCACAAACCCAAGAAAAAGTGTAGGGAAACTGGATTAAATGATACAATGCATAAGTCAGGTAGGGCTTAGTTGAGCAGTTCCATAGCTAGAAAGTCAAGATCAGGTCACAGTGATTTTAGCTGTAGTTTCAAACTAGTCAGGCAGGCTTGCACATATTTCTGTATCTGACTGGAGGTTCTGCCATCTGAGCATTATTTCCAGTGCCTGCTGGAACTGTAACCTTCTTTTACCTGGCATAACTCTGAGCATGCCAGTAATTCAATTATCAAGAGTATGTGGCATAGATTTTTAAAATTTTTGCATTGTTTCTTTTGAGATGTCCATTGTGTGATTTGCTGCAGGCTGTCATTTTTGTCTGCCATCCAATGTATGTTGGCAGGAGGGTTGTGTACTAGGCTTTGTGTCTGGTCACAGAAAAAAATTCATGCATCTCAGCCAGACCATTTTGTTTTTCCTTTAGAATTAAAAGCATATGAAACAGATGCAGCTTAATAAGTATCTTTTTTTATAAATAACATTTAAATAACTTAAAACAATAAAGTTCAAATACAACTTAAAATAAAGTTTAATGCTGTAACAACAGAAAAAGCATGTATAAGAATGGGAAAACAATATTGAAAGCTGTATGCCCTAACAGGAATTATACAAAAGATAGGATATGTTACATAAAAAACCTTAATATGTCTGAATTTTTGCTTCATAGTTATATAAAATGTTAATTTGTGAAAAGTGAGATGAAGTACATTATTTATTCCTATTTTTATTTTACATACACTATTTGAAACATCTTTTAGAGCAGCATTAGGTATTTGTTTCATTAATAGATAGGAACATTTTGTGTTAGAGTAAACTTAATTTTTCCAAACTAACTCTCTTATCTGAATACAACAATAAACATTTACAAGATTATATTTTTTTTGATCATATAGTTTATGTATAGGATATCAGTTTCTTGGGGGAAGTATTTAAAATACTGCTCAGCCTCCACATTTTCTATTGACTTGATAATCTGACAACTCATTCCAGCAGCCTTAAAGTCTGACATATTTTACACAACATTATCATCTGCTTATTATTATTATAGCAGCCATATTTAAGAAGCAGATAGTTTTTTAAATAAAATATTATCAGATAATCAAGTAATGACTTATTCTTCAGGGTAAATTAATTTAAGAAACTACCCAGTTACAATGACTAAGATAATGATTGTACAACTCTTTAGAATTTTTTACAACTTTTAGTTAGTAAATCTGGTTTTGTGTATATTTTCAAATCTTTTTCATGTAGTCTCTTAAAAATAAACATAAATGCGCAAGTCCAGCTTGTTCAGTTTCTCAGTAGTATTCCAGCCTCTCTTGGTATCTTGTCAAACAGTCTTCTTAAAATTAATCTTCCTGCTGGAACTAGTTCTTTATAGATCATTTGTGATTAGGATATTGCCAGAGGAAGAAAGTGGGATGCTCTGTGTTCTTTCTTTGTTTTTTTACCTTTCATTGGAACCCCTTTGTGGTTTAGTGTAACAAACATCTCCTTTCCTTTGTGTGTCCATTTTGCAGAAGCGTACGTATTGTAATGGTTTTCCTCAATCAGTTCAATGAAGTTGCAGTCCTCGTTGCATACTTTCTATGGAGAGTAAATAATAAAATATGGTAAGGCAAGTACTGTCTTTTTAAATACTTAGATTAGGGAAGATGGGAGAAGAATAGGCATTATAGACCCTGCATATTGGGAATATTTTAATAAATAAATTTGACCTCTGAAATCTGAGTATTGAATATTTTAGCTTTGTATATTCCCGCTTAGTATTCCACATTTTGAAGAAGTATATAGGACTTAATCATTCAATTTATTAAATGGACATGAAAGTATAATATGGGGTTCATGGGATAAGTCCAGAATTCATTTTACTTAGTTAGGAATCTGTTTTATAAAAATACCATACAAATGCTACATCTCAAAATACCTCTAAGATTATAGGGATGTGCACATAAGAGAAGTTTACATCCATACCTTTCCATAGAGCCGTCCTGACTTGTTCATTGCCAGAAAATATTCACTTTCCACTCCTTTGATTGCCACTATTCCAACTGCCACTGTTCGAATTTCTAGAATACCTGCAAAGGTACACAGCAAGGGCTGTAAAATGGTTGGTTGTTCTCCAGTTAACTTAGCAGGTTTGGTTGAACCTATGTTCTGTAATATTTCCATGTTTATTGAAAATCTGCAGTGATCATTCTTAGAATACAGAAAAATGATGTGTATTCATGTGAAGAAAGGGCTGGACTTCAAAAATGCCCTCTGTGTGATCATGTCTGCATAGAGCCACTTTAAAATTGTATATGCTGAAATTGTGATGTCAATATAAGTAATTTCTCTATTTTCAGAGAATCAGTGTAGATTAGAATTTATCAGGGTTTCATTTGGAATGTGTAGTTAGCCATGAAGGTTCACAGAATTTGTGTAAAGCCTTTATTTTGAAGTCTTATGTAGCAGTATCATCCCCTTGAAAGAGTGTAAACCTTAGAACTTGCGAGTGATAGAAAACAGACCACAGTGTCTTAAATAAGATAAAGTATTTGCTTGACCTTTGTGTGCTTTTATGACTGATTGGAGCTGTAAAGATACGTGTATTTGAAAATCATTAAAGGCTGTCTTGAGAGCTTATTTATTCAAAACCAGAAAACATTTAGTGTTGTTTTCTATCAACTGCTTTATTTTAATCTCTTTGATATATATCAGCAATACTTTCTGTAGTCACTGTGATGCATTTAAGTTACCTGCACCATAAAAACAATATTCTTTTGTTAATATTTAAAAATAAAAAGGTGAATGCAGGGGGATTATGCAAGTTATTAAGGAACAACAGGTTGTTTTCAAGCTTAAGTATTATTAATCTTGTCTTAAGCAACTTTAGAGTTATACATGTGAGTTTGAGCTGTGTCTTTCAGTATTGAGTCACTGACAGAACTCTGCCACTGTGCTGTGACTCCTCCAAAATGGGGTCTTTCAAAGGCAGCCAATTCGAGGCAAATTGCAAGAGCTAAGCATGGGGGAGACAAATGAGGGCGGTGGGAGAGAGGCATGTGTTAGATTATCACCTGAATTTCCTCTTTAACAAAACATTTCCCTTTTTTTCCCTTTCAAGTTGGCATAGACTTTTCACAGCCACACAATAAGAGTCTTTTCTTAGTTAGGTTTTTAAGAGAGGCATTAAATATCTTCAATATTTCTCCTTCCCTATCCTCTTGTGTTTTGCTTTCCTTTGTGTTCTGTTTTGCTTTTTTCCTCGATATTATTGATGTACCAGTCCTGGAACATATGGGTATTTTTTTCTTCCAATTTTCTTTAACAGATCAGTTCCCTCCTCTCATGGTGTGTGCACTGCTGGGCATTCAGCTCGGAGCATTTATACTTCTGTACTCCCCTATAATGCCAAACCATTTTTTTTCTAGGTAAAGCTTTTAGAATTCTTTGACAAGTTCCACTCTGCTGCAGGCCTAGCAATAGTTCTAACAAAGGGCAATCTGTAACCGAAACTTACAAAAATTATATTAACTATCATTTAAATTTCACTTTAGAAAAACCACAGTGAGGCTAAAAACCAGATGAACATCTGCATTTAGCTTAACAAAGAACATAACAGTCAAAGGGATCTCTGGGTCATCAAGTCCAGTGCTCTGCTCGCCTGGGAATTGCATCAGATAATTCTCTTTTCATAAACTTTGCCAATACTAAATTGGAGTTGTTATTTCTTTGCCCCCAGTGTTTCTGCTGAAGGCTGTTCCAGAGTTTGATTTATTTTAATGGCTAGAGACTTCGTAGTAATTTGCAATCTGCATTTCTTCAGTGACAGCTTATATCCATTTGTTCTTTTGCCTCTGCTGGCCATTAACTTAAAGGGAGATTTAAAAAAAAAAAAATCTATGTTTGAGTTTTCTATTTATACAGAATTTTTAAAAATGAAAGAGTTAAAATTACTTTTTAAAACAAGTCATGCTAATAGGAATTGAGATTTCCTTGAGTAAGCTGATGTTGGCTGAAGTTACAGTAGTAAGAAATCCTACTACTTTAAAAAAGGAAATGCCAAAATGTTTTGTCCAAAGCAATATTATTATTATTACAATTTTACTTTTCTTTTTTTAGTCTTTTCTTTTTTACTGAAGTAGATTGTGACTAGCTTGTTGGAGTTACTTTATTTTGGTTTGGGGTACTTTGTTTTTCTACTTTCAATGTCTTTTCTTGTCTCAAACGAGAAGCTCTATTCTTACGTGCTTCCTAAGTAAAGGTATTTAATCCTTTCAGTATCTATTCATGAAAAGAAAAGAAAGTCACAAAGCTAGGATGGGGAAGAGAAAATTCTTATACACAGATTGTTTCATTGAAATACTCTTTTCATACTATAATAACCAAAATTACTTTAAAGACATGCTTAAATTAATTAGATATTGATGAGGAGAAATTCAGAAGGCCAGGCTTCCACAAGAAGCCTTAAATAGCCCTTAAATATCCCTGATTTCAAAATTAAAATGTAAGATGTGTTCTTCAGTTGCTTTATCTAAAGCATCCCCAGAAAAGTTTGGAAGGTTTAAGAGAAGACTTGAATATACCACAAAGTAACTGGGAAAGAAATCAGATTAAAACCAGGAAAAGAAAAATAAAACAACTTAGACATGGGCATCCAAAATTGAAAACAACTGTACTTTCTATAAAATCATCATGAAATTCCAAACAATTTTATATGGTTGTATGGTCAGTGTATCAAATGTATCTTAAATTCCTGTAGTGAATGAAATTTCTTACAGATCTGAAATTCCTCTGATGTATGTAAAAGACACTCAGCAGAGATGGGCAATAGTTTGTCTTTGGAAAAGATGCCTATGGATGGTGGCAGCAGTCTTTGGAACCACTTGGTGCCAATTAAATAACAGTTGATATCCGTAAAAAACAACAACAACAACAACAACAACATCAACAACAAAAAAAAAAACTAAAAAGAAAAGGAACAAAACAAGCCTTTAGGCTAACACAACCGTTTCAGTGGGTGAAATATCAGGTTTTGGAGAAAATTTATGTTATAAATGAGGTGTGTTTCCTGGCATTCTGGTCTAGAATGACAGTTGCTCAGTACTTTACAAGCAGACACTTTTATGTCTAGACTTATTCCACAACCTAGCCTGAATGACAGGACATTACCTCAGGCTGGAAATTTATGCAGAAAAAAGGGCATTTAATTATATCACTGATATAAAATTGAGCGTTGTCACGTGAGATGATTCTTTCCTGGCAAGTAGTATTTGATAATTTTATTGCCTCATATTAAGTGGTTTTTTCGGATTCAATTAATATTTTTAAATCAGCATTTTCATCTTCCTTTTATCTGTTAGACTTCTTTTTGCTTTTACAACACACTGGCGTTGTATTTGTTAGAACAAATCTTTGCTTTTGTTGCTACACAATCTGTTTTCAGACTATATTAAAGTATTTTTATCTCTGTGCAGACATAGTTTGATAGGCAGTTTTTGTGTTTGCCCATAATAGCCTTAGAAAACAGTAACAAAGTAGCAGGAGCCTTGTGATTTAGCAAGGGCATTTTTCTTTATTCATTTGTCAGTTAAGTGGCTGAAAGAGCAGTTGCAGCTCTGGCTCCTGAAAGCTGTAAGGAATCCAGTGAGTGCTGCTCATGCCTGAAGATCCCACGGGCAGGGATAACCTGGCAGGGGGCTTTTGGAAGAGGAGGGGCAGCAGAAGCACAGAGGGAGATCTCTTTTCACGTTCTAGGGAACTGCCCCAGTATGGCAGGATTGTTCAGGAAGATTCTGGAGGCACGCATTGTTCAGTCCCTCATCAGCTGGCTCAGTTTCCTGACATTCCGTATGTGGCAGGTATCTCCTCAGTGTCTATCACATAAGGTTTCTGGTCACTGCTCCTCAGTTTGCCAGAGTCACAGTGTCTGTAGACATTCATTCAAAGAGATGTTTTGGCATCTGTGACATTTTTCAGAAAGCTGACAGCAATTTCATCCAGGTACATGTGTTGTGAGAGCACTATGATATGTACAGCACTTTAGTTCTTGTGGCTCTCTGTGCAGTGAAGTTGAAAAAAAGCAGCCTGTTGCTGATTTTTGGGGGTAGGGAGGCTGGCACTGGCAGTTCAGCACTTGTGAGGAATGTGTTTGTGAAACACTCTTTCCTCAGCAGAATGGTCTTTAAAAATAAAGTATGTGAAATCTTAAATAGGGACAGAGGGGCAGAAAAGACTTGGACGGAAAATGAGTCAAAACAAAATGTAACTTCTAAATTTCACTAACTTGTGTTTCTCATTAATTGAATTTGGAGCACATATTTATTAATTCAAATGACCTTTGCAAATAATTCAAGGCCAAGGAAAATTATCTCTTTGCTTAGAAGACACTGTTTAATGATAGGCAATGTAATTTGTTCTATTGTTCTGGGACATAAGAAGTTAATGTTTATGCCTCTTAAAGCCAGAAAATATGATTCATGATGATCAATCTTGGAAAACTTTCATGATGTTATTGGTATGTGTGTGCATTTGGTAAGCCAGCATAGCAAATACATTCATTAGCTGGTGTATTGCACTTAAATGCTTTTCCAGAAGAGTCTTATCAATGAAATTAATACTTTTATTGGATATTTTGAAAGTAATTTTTTTCAGGAAATGTTTTTCTATCTTATTTTTTTAATATAGTGTCTATATTGTAAAGTATTTTGTACAATTTAAGTTGAATCTTAATTTTTTTTAATGGATGCATCTTGAAGTTAATTTTTAGGTAAAACAAACAATTTGCGTGCTCATTCTCTCTCAAATATAAAAACTAACAGTTGAAAAAAATTGCTGCAAATAAGGGTATTGATTTAAGATATTTTGTAATATGACTTCATTTTTACCTTTCTCTATTATTAAATTAAAATTGATAGGAAGTAGAACTTGCATTTGTATTGAGTGCTTTCCTTAGCAAGAGAATGAAGGAATGTCCTAGATGGTACCTCATAGAACTCCCGTTCGTAAGCTTTTAAAGTAGAAATAAATGTACAGGTATATGTTATAATGCCTTTCAAAGCAGGAGGTTTCTCCACCCCAGGAATATTCTGTC